TGGGGGTTAAACTTAATTTTACCTCATTGCCATTGGAGACGCTGAGCAATGGATTAAATGTTATCCCTTAACGATAAAACTATATAATGTGACTTATACAAGTATAATAAATACTAATTAACACTAATATATATATATAGTTTAATAAACTATCCCGTTATTACTTACGAGAAGGACTTAGTCCGAGCACAGTTGGCAACCTAGACCATCAAAAGAGAGAGCAAAAAAACTACGTCATCTATGTGACTTTCCTATTATCTTGCTAACCCTTAATTCTTTACTCTCCTTTAGTTACATACTATAAATTTAGAAATTCAGAACTTTTATCAACTCTAATTTTTTCTTCTTTTGGGTTAGTTTCCCGTTTATTGTATATTTGTTGTTATATGTTGGGTTGATCTTAAAGGCTTGCTAACTTCAAAAACTAATATATCATAACCAACTTGAGAGTAATATGTTAAATTATATAATAAGGAAATATAATATAGACTTGATTAAAATTAAAAAGAGCTGTATAATTTATTTTGTTCTCGAGCCGCCTGAGTAGCACAACGCTCCCCACCTAAAAAACTCTGGCAAGAACGACAAAAAATCAGAAAGAGCACGACGCTTATGACCTCCCTTCAAGGTTCAACTAGGGTTGTGTTCCCAGACGTTCAACCCTCAATTACATAGAACCCATGTGTAAATAAAGTAGTTATTTCATATTTAAATTTAGCAAAGATTGCAGTTCATTGCTTTGATCTTGCATTTGTTCCATAATTATATATATCATAAGATGTTGAAACTCAGACTAATGTATCTACATAGAGCAGTTGACCAGAGAGTTTCGAGTAAATATGTTTTAAAATTTTTTGGGATAGGTTTTTAAAATTTTTTCGGGTCCGGCATATTTCACATCTTTGCAGGGTTTTATGTTATTATAGCTACCATATCTTTTTCTTAAATATTAGACTAAAATAGCTTCTTTTCTGTTAAGAAAAGTTATATTAATTTTATTGACCTTTATCTGTTTGATTATGATGTTTACTAAGTTGGTTCATGCTCGATGTTATAAAGCAGTATTTGGCCTAAGATACTAACGCGGACACGCTGCAGACTGTAATAATATATAATAGAATTGATTGCTTTCGTTATTGTCTTTTAAAGAAGAAGGTGCAGATATATTAAGCCTTAAATTTGCCGTACGGTTTTTTAACAATAACGCAAAATTTTTTAGTAGGGTTGCTTATGAGGAAAGGTCTATTGTTTGTTGTTATGGCCTCTTTATGATCATTTTTGCTAAGCCGAATTTAAAGCCACCTTTTGACTGGCCACCGTTAATTTTTAGCAGATAACTCCAGTAACATAGATTGAGCTTTTATTAAAATCGTTCCTATCGCGAAAGATGTCCTTTATGGAAAGTTATTAAACACACGACTTAAGCACCTCATTTTTTTTAACTCTTACTTGTGCATTGAGGTTTATAAACCTGGGAAAGCAATAGGAATTATTATTGTCAAATTTTACTATATTTGCGTCTTGTGAGCACTGCTCTTATTGGCTACATTCTCCTTTTTCCAGGGGATTAACAAAATGTCTATATAAAGCTAATTATTTTTGTTTCTTTGCTCTCTTGTTTTCACAATTTCGTTTGTAACTGTTTTTTCTTTTAAGATCACGCACGACTTAAAGAATCTTATTAAAAAAAATTTTTCTAAAATTATTTTTAGATCTAGAATAGTTCAAGTTATTGTTATATCTTTTTAGTATAAAAACAAGAGGCTTTTAAAAAGTAACACGTGCACTGCGTTTGTCTATGGCTTGTAAAGAAAGCCTTAATTGTTCCGGTGAGATAACTATAGAGTGTTGAGGTCAAAACTCTTCAAGTCATTAGTTGGAAAAGTGCAAACACTTCTCAAAGTGGCGTCGAGTCCTAAGGAAACCCTTAATTTATTTTGTTAGTCTCTGTCTTCATTCTATTATTCCTTCAGTTTACTATAACTTCAACACTTTCTTGTGGGAGAGCTCCACTTGAACCACATACAAGCTTAGAGTGCTGACAAGACGAGTCACAATGGTAGAAGCTGCAACAGAGGGCCATCAGTTGCGCAAGTTGTTATGTTTAAGTTTAGAAACCACTTTTTTTATGTCTCTAGGAAAATTATCAGTTTAAAATTTAGTTAAATTTTTTTTTAAAATCATGTTTTTAAGAGGTTATTTTTATATAAACTCTTTTATAAACAAAAAAGTGACTGACAGACTCACTAAATGAGAGTTATATTATTATATAAAAAAGAGAAGTATATACGTGCCGAACGAAACAACAATTCATTTATGTACCCATAAATAGCTTTAGTTCAAACTGTATTTTTTATATTGTATTTAGGCGGTTTTGATTCTATGACGTTGAGTTTTTTAGTAAAAAAGGAGAGGTAAAATAAATTTCATAGTTTTATTAATAAATTAATATTATTTGATGCTGATAAATTTTTATGAAGATACACTACATTAAAAATTTGACTATATTTTTATAAAAATATTATCGCGCGCTCCGGAAAAATTTTTGATGAACTTTGGGTTTAACAGTAAGAGTCAGCTGAGTTAATAAATCTGAAGCCTCAAAAAAAAAATTTGTTATCAATGTTAAAAAGAACTTTAGGATTCTTCATATAGTAACCGTGAATTATAAGTTAACGTTATATAAAAATGAAAGATGTACCTCTTCTCTGTTCTTTTTAACCCTTTCTTCGATAAAAATTAGTTTTTCTTCCGTCTTTTTAGTTATTTTTACATGTATTTCTTCCGAAAATTTCTCAAGCTGCAAGGGATAAAATAAGTACCAATAATATATGTATTCGGCTTGATAAACTCTTAACCGACTTAATTGAGGTTTTTAAAATATTTTCTCGGGAAATTTTAAACTTATCCAATTCTGTTTCGGCTTCTTCTCTTGCTTGCTTGAGTCGTCGTTGTCTGGCTTATATAAAAAGTCTTTTTAACTACCTTAATATATAAGTAAATAAAAATAAAGTTTTGAATTTAAGCCCAGTTAATAACCCAAACGGGCGAATTTAATTGTTTCTGTGGCAGATCTCTCAGCTGCAAGAAGAGCCTGTATTCCTTGCGATTGCTCTATAGACATGTCAGGGAATTAAAAAATATATCACACGAAAGCTTATTACTAACTAGTAGACCAATGTAAAATCTGTGGGGGCATCTGAAAATTAGTAGTTAACCAGTGGGGCGAAGACTTACATTTTATCAACACCTCAACAGCAGTTGGTATGGGCCTAATTATCAATACGTTATATAACTTTTCTTTTACAGAAAACTAAGAAACCCCACAGTTACGTTAATTTACTGGATTTCAAGTGCGGAATAAAAGTATGAATATAACAAAAAAGTATCATTTTAAAAATTAAATATAAAGTATGTAGACATTCATATTTTTTGGTAATTTAGGGCAAAATTAATTATACGATCATATAAGATTGCACTCATGAGTTCACCGCCCAGCTACGGTGCAGTTCTATATACCAATATAAATTATCCTCCGGTATTTACTGGTTCCCACAAAGAAAATATACCGTACTTTCCTCAGATCCGTGATATAAATACTGTGAACACGTATTCGAGCAACTAACCCAAATGAACTATTTCGATCCACTTTTTTATTTTTCAATTAATTATTAGTTTTTTAAATTATTTTATGTAATAAATAGATTTTTAGGAATAAGTTCGGAAATTACATATGATATTTATATTGTTAAACCGTTTTAAAGGCCTTATTAGTCTGGAAGCATTGAGCTCGAACTCTTACTATTTTTTTTAGAGTGATAAAAATTTATAAAGAACACCGCTAAGCCGCCAGGTGGTTGCAGCCAACACACAAAGAATCGGGAAATTGTAGTTTAAGATAAAACTCTGCATCATTTTTAAGAAGAGACGCCATTGAACTTTGAGATGTAGACCGGTAAAAAGTGAGATTCCTTTCTTTTTCGACTTCACAACTCCTACGACTTTCATCTAACTAAGCGGAAACTTTTGAAGCCGAAAAAGGGTTAAAAAAGAAATAAACTTTCGCTTAGCAGGGCTTTCGCTAACCTTTTAAGCAATAAGGGCACAAGCCTACCTCTTTATATCTCACAGAGTAGAGTAGGGATAATTTCCGTAATATGCTCGGTTAAAAGGAAATTAATGTAAAAATTAGCTTCCTCGCCAACTTTGCACTATCCTCAAAATAATTAAATCTTTTAAATTAAAACTTTATAAAAAGGTTTGAAGATGAGGTACTTTTGTTAGATGACTCTTAAAAAAGGAAATTTTTAAAAAGACTTGCGTTCGTCCTTGGACTTGCGTGCTAAATAATGCCATCATATTACTTTTTGAACACAGTAGCTTTATCTAGTTTTATATGTGCTGAGGATATTACGGAGTCTCTTAACAATAAATATTATTTATAGTACTTCTGTAAAAAGTGGAAAGTTTGTATAATTCAATACTTCAATAGTAGAATTTTCAAGCTTTGTGAATTTTGTTACTTGCTTCTAATTTAATTCTCTTGAAATGTAATGAAAGAGCTATGGGTCGAATAAAGCCCATAAAACTACACATCAGAATAATTAACTAATGAGGAATAAAAAAACATATATTAGTATAAAAAAAAAAAGGGATGTTCAAAGAACCTTACTCATCAGTCTTGACTCAGGGAAGCCCACACAACATTTAAGTTAAAGCAAAACTGTTATGTTAAATAATGCCTCGTGTTATTAACATCGCGAGGTTTAGTATGGACTATCCTAAAGTGTCGAACAGTACTATTAATTTCTTAGAGTTCCTCTATTCATTAAGGAAAGAATTAGTGAAGAATTATTCTGTTAATGAAGAATTTTTCCAGTCAATGAGTAGAGATTTTTTTTTGATAGAATTATTCTAATCATTATGTGGAGAATTGTTCTCTAGATGAAGAATGAGAGTTATTTTTAAAATACTACGTCTTTTTTTAGATGTTGTAGTTTAACTTAGCAACCTTCTTAGATATGCTAGTTCAAACTTAGCCAACACCTTTGTGATTGCAGCTTTTTGTGGGTAATAACTCTTTTTTTTAATAATTAAAGGCTGGAAAAAGCATGTGCAAGAGAACAGCTTATTTACGCTCGTCTCAAGTACTCGCTTATGCGACGAACTCTTCCTATTGCCTTGATCACCACGAGGTACTTGTGAGCGGCGCAAGTCGGTAGATGAGTGGCAGGCCCATGCAGTATTGGTTGAATTTACCCGTTAGCTATTCTCATTGCCTTTATAATAGGAAATACACTCTTTAGTAGAAGGAGGATTACTTTTTTGTCCCTAGGCCACTATGGTGAAAAGTCCGAAAATTTCCGGGCCTATAATAAAATTCAACAGTTTTGCCTCTAGTTAGTCTCCACCGAACTGTTTGATAACTATCTGCTGATTTTGGTGCTGAGCCGTCAGGCTGGAATGCCATCCTTGGGTTGATTGCACAAGGAGTGCGGTAATTTACCGACTTAGTGATGTTTAGTAATCCTCTACAGCCCTGGGTTTTCTTTAACTTTAGCTGAAAAGAGATAGTAAGCTATCATATCTTTTAAGGGATGCTTGACAACCTAGGGCCGGGGATATGGTTACCTAAATTAGTTTTAAAGTTATCAAACTCCTCGCGTATCTAGAAGGATTAGGCAGTGGCTTTATGCACAGGTCGCTAGGCTTGCTTCTAGTAAGGGGAAAATTTTGAGCCGACCAGAGACCTTAGGAAGGGTCTAGCTTATCTGTGATCTTTACAAATAGTACCTTCTGGATTTAACTTAGGGGTACAGTTTTACTTAAAAAGCGATAGCGTTGTATTATGATAGGACGCCTATGGGAGGTCGTCTCTGACACCTGTCGTGGATATACTAGCCGGTTTGTATCCGCCCTTGATCAGTGTGTTATTTATCTACATTGACCCGGCGGAGCTTGGGCTCAGCTTCATTATATTGGCCTAAGTGAGGTTTAGTAATGCGTCTTGAGCAATTAGGCGTTGTCGAAAGCTCATGGTGTACTAAATAATCTTCCTTAATTAGACTAGTGAAAAGGCAACTTAGGCGAGAAATCTTAAACAACACTATTGGCATTGATTCGAGATACCAGTATACTAGTTGAAAACTGTACTATATATATAGGTGTCTTGTACTAGTATTTTACTAGAATTCTAGACTATGTATGTAAGTATAGTATTTGACTAAAGGTAATTTGGTTAACTATAAAAGTACTTACTTCACATGCATAAAGAGACTAGAGTATAGTACTCGATAAGATACTTATACAACATTGTTGCTTACTAAGATATACTAAATATATGCGGTACCGCCTTATGTTCGACGTATATTAAGCAAATAAGATGGGAGAAAGCAATTGATACGACTTGGGAGCCCAATACTTAGTAAAATTTATTAAAAAAAAAGCCGAGTTAGAGTTGTTAGCTTAAAAGGTTCTGCCTATTTGAATTAATCTTAGTTAAGCGAAAATAAAGAGAGGTATTGTGTGGTCACCACTTCTATTTTAAATTAAGCCACCATCATACTTTATATTGCACCAGGTGGGTCTTAGTACGTAACCTGTTAGCACGAGTTTCAATCGATGTTTAACTCCGAAGAGCTATTATTGTATTAGAATAAATGAATTGTTAACTAATATCTCTATATAATGTGGAAAAATTAAAATTTAAATATAAAATTTTACAAAAGCGGGTGACCAGGCACTGAGTTTTCGAGCTCTCAAACGGCTTAATAGCGCGCTATTAATGTTTGCCCCAATTTAAGTAAATTTCTTGAACCCCCAGTTTATATTAAAACTCGTACCTGAGCACGCTTGCCAGCAGGTTGTGATTAATTAGACGTTTGTAGATGGGATTGGCATTGCTTTAAAAACGGTATCCAACGGTTCTATCCAGAGGTCTTGTTGAGCATTGCAAAAAACAAGGCAGCCCGTCATGAAGCAAGGCAGCATATTTTATGCATATAAACTGGGAGTCTACACGCCAAAAAAATTCAACGGCAGAGTAGGTGCAGTGCGCATTTTCGATGTAATAGTTTACTCACTCATCATCGCTATAATAAAAATTTGTTTTTTGACGGCAAGGTGTAACTTTATCGGAGAATACGCTCCAGAATTTGTTATAAACTGATTGCTTTGGTAAAGGGATGAAAGGGGCTATTTCTAAAATTAAAGGCAAAACTTGAAGAATGAAAAAATTTCAACTTAAAACGCTACTTCTAAAGAAGATAAACTATTAAACTCCACAATACTTCAATACTTCCAGTGCGAAAGTGCTTGCCTACGAAACCCCTATAAAGTACTAAACACAGACATAATTATAAGCTACAATCTATTGATAACGCCAGCAATGATAAATATAATTAAAGTGACCAAAAGCATATCACTATAATAAAAGAAAATCAAGTTCTGATAATAATATTTGTACATAATTACATTAATAATAATAATTTGATAATAATAGTAAAAACTTACTATTAACATTAGTAGTTCTACGAAATAATGATAGTTATAATATTAATACTGACAATATTAATAATTATAAAGAAAAGATTTTTCCTATCACAATCCGAAATAAAGAAAAGCGGAACGATGCTGTTAACTTCATTAAGGTGCTAAAGCTGTCAGACAGGGAATGCGTACCTCAACCTCTTCTGTAAATGACTTTGTAGGTTTACCTCTCTTTTGGACCGAAACATGTAAGTACTAAACTCATCTATTACCTGAGGAACGGAACCTGAAGTTGTAATTCAGGGTTTTATTTATTAGAAAGCGCCTTATAACAATCAATGCCGAGTGTAAGTTGCAAAAAAAAGGTTATCAATTTAAATTTCGAGGAAAGATCCCAGTTCATAAAAGTTTAAACGCAAATTACAATTTTTAGGCACTTTTACGATTATTATTGGTTATTTCATTGCTTAGTTGTTAGTATATAATGAAGGTTCACGAAAAATACACCGGCAGTCGTGCTAATTTTTTTTAGTGCTTTTTTTGTTTTCGTCAATTCTGTACATCTATATATATATACATTTGTTTACAATTAATTTTAAAGGTTTAAAGGTTTAAATACCCTAACAATAAATAGGTAATTCGCTTGCAAAGTT